TATGCATGATTTTAGTTTGGTTTTTTCATTACTTGTAATGCAGCTTTCTTTCTTTTTTTGTTGGTTTAAAATAAGACGAAAAGTTTTAAATTGTATATAAGTATATAATATATATTAATTGTAAGATTACAATTGTTAGGTACAATTTAATTTAATTTAATTTATTTGCACAATTACTTACAACAAACAGCTAAGCCATAATTAAAATCTTAATTTAGATAATATTATGTTAAGAAAAAAATCATTAGGTAAATATTTTAAAGCAAAACAACTAGTGATTTAAATATTAGTAATAAGTATACAAAAAATATTTAACTTACTTTGAAATTATATCGAACAGGTACTTGCGAAACTTGTACGAGGAAACAAAATTTATACCAGTTCGGCTACTTTTTTTATAGAAGAGGGGACGCTACGCGGCTCATCAGATGGTAAGTGACTACCGCCGTTCATGAACAACTGCAACACCAAGGGAATCACAGGTGTGTTGCCGGCCTTTTTTGAAAGGAGTAAGCTCTTTTCTTGAAGGTCCCTAAGTTGTATCAGTCCGGAAAAATCGCAGTGATAAACGATTCCCCAGAGGGGTCGTACGAGGAAGAAAACTCCTAGTAAACCGTACAGTGGTGGACCGCCAAGCATCCAGATGGTGTGAACGGTATCGTGAGATTTGTCACGATGTGCGTTCGTGAAATTTGACGACTGGAATTAATCCGAACAATTTGTCAGCACCCCCGTGGTTGAAAATTACTTACTCCATAATGATAAAGTTTACTAACCCTAGCTACAGGAAAATTTGTTAACAAGCAAAGCCATCGGAAATAGAGGGGCAAGTATATATTAAGTCAATATTATTCCCTGTTGATAGATATATTATATTAGTCCGTTGAACATATAATTTTTTTGACTAAATAAGCAACCAATTACAATTATTATGATATAGTTAATTAGTATGTCGCTTAGATATTTTGTTATAATTAGACTCTATTACGACTAATATATGTAGGCAATGCATACATTTCGTTTTTAAGTATGTTTTTGTACCTTTATACAGCCGAAACGGTTTAATTTACTTGTTGTATAAATATTAACTTCAATCGTAAACTCTCACACTTATCACCCAGTTGGGTATGCAGAGACTATGGGCTTTCATTCAGCACGATCTGATCACATATATCTACGCTACATGCAGAGTACCCCTGACCTGGTCCATCTTCAATATATTATCACTAATTTGATCGATAAAAATTCCTTTTAGGACGCCCCTTGCCGAATCATTTGTGCAGTATAAATTTGCTTTATCGCTCTTCATCTAATGTTGAATAAAATGATTTCAACTAGGGTTCAAATCCAGCACCCACGGCGTAGCAGAGTACTAACTCTACTAGTAATGACTAGTAGTACTCAATGGAGTACATTATTCCACATATTCCGTGATTAATATATATTACATTGACTGCAACTGGGATTCAAATCCATGATCAGCGGCGTAGTAGCTAATTACTCTAATCATTAGTCAACGACATCATTCCACTTGCTCCGAGTCACTATAGGCCACGTAGTCAAAAATAATTATCTTTAATCTCATCGTGTATACGGCAGATGTAGCAAAGACCTCGAAATGCACATGTGGCGCGATAACAAATATATTACTTGTTTTATTACAATAAACTTCGTTTAAAAAACGTTACTGGTTATCGTACACAACCAACCAGTGTTTTGCAACAATGTACGATAACTTAATTAAGAAGTAGACATTATAAAGATCGTTGATTTCTGTGTTGGTTATCGCAAAATTATGCCGACACAAACATAAACAACCTTTGTTGCTAATAATATAAACAAAGAACAGTACATAAGCTGGTAATAATTATATTTAAAAAAAAACGCGGAAATTTTATAAATTAATCTAACTATATCCTTCTACGCAACTAGAATATTTGTCATTCCGAATATGTAAAAATTGTACGTATATTATAATTCATAAACTAAAGTTAATAGAAAAAATTCTGCGAGTGGGCCAATGAAGAGTTACGATATATAAGAATAGAAAAATAAAAGGTATGCAATAAGATTTTTTGTATAATATAGAAGCGACAGTAAATTATTGGTTGTAAGGGTATAATAATCATAATAATAATGTCCTCCAGACCGAATTTCGGCCACGGCGGCCTGCCTCAACGGACACTAGCCATCGGCGCAAGACAGGATTTAGTTTCACTCTCTATTCCCTCACTCTCATAATCCGATGGGACGGTAAACCGACACGACCGGAGAGAGATCAGGCGCAGGACCAACGGCTTTACGTGCTTTCCGAGGCACGGGGGTGAGACACCGCCAACTTTCTGACTCCCGGCAACTACTGAGAATTTCTTGACGGAAACTTAATAATTAATTTTTGGCCCGACCCGGGATTCGAACCCAGGACCTCATGATCAGTCACACTACTACAACTGCTAGACCAACGAAACAGTCAATATAATAAAAAATGATTATTATAATATATGGTGTAATGGGCGTATTATAGGTAGTTAGTGTATGCACCGCATCACTAATAATTGGTGGATTTGAATCTGTCATTCGTTTACTGCCGTGAACCCTTTGAGTGTTCAGCCAAACTCAAAGCGTGAACTAGTCCCAGCACTAGCATTTTAAGCTGAGTTGGAGTAATTAGCAATATTTAAAAAGAAATATTATCGATGAAGAAATTAATCCTTAGGCAATTTAATTCGTAATAGTTAAAATAATAAAAAAATATGTGGAACAAATAAGGGGCTTGTAAAATAGAATTCCTGCGTTAGTGTGTATTAACAATAGTAATCATGTATCATAAAACCACACTTACATAGTGAAATAGCGCACAAAGCCACAATATCCGCATGTTCACTGTTATAAGTTTCAAGAAGTACTGGCATGCTGATAAAAGCGCTCGCAAACCTCTGTAGGTCACATGATAACTTTTAAAATTCAACGCTCGGATAACAGCATGGGTCAACAAATGAGTTTGTACCCAAGTAAACATACCAAGGAATAATCAGATAAAGAACATTTGTTTAGTTTTTAATTTAAAAACGGTTTATTAAATTTAATGAGTTTATCAGGACCTAGACATGTTATTAGTAGTTCATCTTGTCTGGTTCAGCTTGACTTGGATGATGAAATTCACCACAGCGATTTCAACCATCCGCATATTTCGTAACTACTCGAAACTGTCCCTGTGTAGACACTGACAAGTGTGATAGATTGTGTTAGGTATTTTGGTATTACCACGTCGTAGTTAAAAACAAATTCGTGGACATGTGAAGTTCACCAATACGCAGCGCGACGCCTGTGGGCTGCGGTAACCACTTACCATCAGGTGTTCTGAAATATTGTCTAGTTTTATAAAAAATAACTGTGTAATTAACAATGTTTTTCCACCATAAAACAGAATTATCAATTTTCGCGGTATTAAATTGCGTTTGCTCATGCAGCTTAAAGTTAAAAGCAAGTGTCATATCCTTGAGCTACCATAATTCGAATCGACGGCGCGCTATGGTTACAAGTGCCATTTATTAAAGCGCCTAGCCTCAGAGTAATTACATTCATTACTTCAAGCGCTATTATAAGTTTTAACTACCTCCTTGGTATAATCACTAGACTCAAGTAGTTATAACCGTGAATGCTGATCATGTGAGATTCAAATCCGGGGCCGAGTCAAAATACGTGGTAGAGGTAGAGCTACGATGCAGCTATATTATACTGGGGTGAGACCACGCTCCTACAGAATACCAGCTTAAAATAGCAGCTTACGCTGCTGCTTCGTATGGTGATTGTAGAGAACCGGGTCCTTTTTACTGGAAACGAGGCATTCCATATTAATCTTCAGGGTGGTGACAATGCATCTGTATTTTGATTCTTCATCATTACAGCCCTTCACAAGTCCACTGCCGAACATAGGCCTCCCCCAAGGCATACCACAAAGATCTTATTTTATTCTTAATTAATGATAAATGTAGATGTCTAAGGGCCACAGCATCCACTTAATATCAGGTGGACTGTGTGCTCATTTATCACCCTATTCTATAAAATAAATCAGTTATTTGGTTTTATGCTTAGACTATTCAACAGAATTTTGGGTTGAATGATCTAAGGTTTTATGTCAAGAAATTGTTTATCTTGCACATAAGTTACCGTCGCAAAATCACGTCATCTTAGAGTACTTATACATAAGCACATCACTTTTTAAGTGAAACTTTACATATTAAAATCCACTTAACACAATTATTTAAGTGATAATGCGTGAATCCGCCGCCGGTCCAGTGATTCACATCATTTAAGTTGGTTTCTACCAAACCCAAAATAGTCTAATTTTTTATATAATCTTATTACATTTATTATTGTAGCACGAATGAGTCAGCTTGGCTGTGGAAGAACCATGCTCTCACAGAATACCAGCATAAAATAGCAGCTTAATGTTGATGTGTTTTATTGTAGAGAACCGGAGACTCTCTTTACTGGTAATGAGGTATTTCATCTTAGTCCACAGCAGTGACAACATATTTTGCATTCTGAGGATAGATGTAGATGTCCTTGGTCTACAGCATCTACTACCTCCAGGTGGACTGTGGCAGTGAGCTCATTTGTCATCCTTATTTAACTTAAAACACTGCGTGTAAATTTGCACACATAAGCAAGAAATATAATTTTTTGCTACACTATATACATACCAATAGACCTCTAAAGCAGAACAATAAATAAAACTCAGACTTAAACCTATCATAATTTATTGGAAAATCCATAAATTAATCCCTAGATTTACGCGATCAGCTACTTAAATTCATAATAAGCAATTAACATACACTTTCGAGGCGAATTTTTTACCACTGCAAAGATATTTGTCATAGAAATAAAACAGTGCAAAAATATTTGTTTACAAACATCACAGTTTCCACTAAAAACAAATGAATTGCATTCCAGTACAATAGAGCGGAAGCAGATAGATAGCACTTCAATGGGATATTTCATATTATTTCCTCAGCATCAATTGGATCTGAAAATAGAAAACAAACTATGTAATAATTTTATTATTTACTCTTATGCAGATGACATTACAATTGTGGAGAGATACCAGCCGAATGCTCGAGCAAAAGAAGCTATGGTTGAACATGCGAATGTCAAATTCCTGTGAAATTCAGCACCTCCAAAACATAAGTGTGTCTCTTAATCGCTAACAAGAGCCTTCTGCCCAAACCCCGCCCTCCCCCCAATATGTGGCATACCAGTTGTGACTAGTTTCTTTCCTTACTCACTATTTGGGCATCTGCTTTATCTTAGCTTTAGTATACATTTTTCATAGATATGCTTGGAAACAAACCTAATTCGTCTATATGCGGTGGTGCAGTGATCACAGGAATGCTCCGAAGCCGAAGGCACGTTTAATACTATCAAAGTAGTAACGCTTCCAATTCTCACTGGTTTGTTCTACTTCGGAAGCAGGGACCAAGTCCTGTTTCAATTTCACTAGAGTGTGGTCATCCTGAAAAGTGAAAAGACCACTATTAAATAAACAAAACAATTTAAAACTTGATATTATAAATAGTAATAAACTAAATATTATAAAAAATAAAGTTAAGGCAACTTTGGAATACATCTAAACATTTTTTATTTATGTTACAAAAGATCTATGGTATTATTAAAAAAGTGTACTTTAACGGTGGTTGCACATAAATTTTAACCAGATATCACAATATTTCATGTTGATTTATACTTATAGGTTTAAAAAAACATGCAATAGGGTATTTGATACTATAGTGGGCACGAAAAATATTGGCACTTTTATTCAACAACAATATGGTGTCATTTTTTGACAGAGTTATATCATATGTGATAAATATACAACAGTCGATCTTCATATGATGTGATTCAGAGCTCAATGCTTCAATCACTGGCTTTGTATTTTACCAATAATTACTGTTACCGTTATTGCCTATTAAAGTATACTCCTGAACATAGGCCTTTCCCATAGATTGCCTCATAGGGGGATATTTGCCATAGTAGCCACGCTTGGCAAGCAGGTTGGCAACCACAGTCTTTATTTTTTTATAGGATATAGTGACAAACAAGCACACAGTCCACCTGATGGTAAGTGGTTGCTGCGGCCCATAGATATCTATCCTTGATTGCAAATCAAAATGCAGATGCAATGATCAATTTTGAAGACTCATCAGCCGTAAGGGCTAAGATGGAGTGCCTAGTTTCCAGTAAAAAGGGTCTCCGGTTCTCTACATTCACCATACGAAACCAGCAGCATTAAGCTACTTTTTACGCTGGTATTCGGTGAGAGTGAGGTCCTTCCCTGGTCTAGCTGACCCATTCGTGCTACAACTACGCTACTAATATAACTGGAGTATGGCTCTACCACGTATAAAAATTTTTGTTGTGTGAAAAACACTGCTGCCAACCTGATTTGATTCCCTCTGTCACCTCTTACAACACCCACATGATGATATTCTTATACCTCCACTACATGGTAATTAATGGTGATGGTAAGTGATTGCTGCGGCCCATAGACATAGATCAATCTTCAATCACAAATCAAAATGAACAAGATAAAATGCCTCTTCTCCAGTAAAAAGGGTCTCCGTTAAGCTATTTTATGCTGGTATTCTGTGAGTGTGGTCCTTCCCCGGTGGAGCGAACCCATTGGTACTACAACTTAAGGTGCTACTAATATAGATGCATCATGGCTGTACCACATACAAGTTTATTCTTCATAATTCTTCTTTACAACAATTATTTTTCGTAATGTCTTGATTAGCTAGTAACACTAATAAGAGTAACACATTATTTTTATTTATACTATTAAGAACAATAATATCTTACACACAATAACAACACCAATCAGTTAAAAATCAGTCATAAGTAGTGTGGTATGAATACGGCAAGGAATTGTGTTTGTAAGGCCTACATATGATTGTTCTAGGTCGAAATGATTGTTTCTGTGCAATTTATGTATGTAACTAATACTAGACAACTTTATAATATATGTAAATAATAAAAATAACTTTACCTTCTCCTCAATGGTGAAAGTGACCTCAGAAAAATGTTGTTCCGGCCACTGCTTGTATCTCCAGTACTGAACAATTTTCTTCCCTGGCACTAGTTCTTTAAACTCTCCAGTCACATTGCCCCCAAATAATGCAAACTTTCCTCCCTTCTCCACCTCCATTTTTACATGTCCCTGAGTGAAAGCAGTCACCATTTCTATCTTTGTCATGGCATTATAGAACTCATCAGCTCTGCATTGGAAAGTCTCTGACAGTTCAATAGTTTTTGTATCAAGCTTACAACCTATTTGCTTATTTTGTGTTGATATCACAGGTTCCATATTTATTTTTTTATTAAAGCCACTTGTTATTGTGGAGATACTATCTGGTTTCACAGTTGTTTCTCCTTTCTTCGGTAGTATTAAGCCTTTAGAGAATTCTTCCTTCAGACTTCTGACATACTCTTTGAGTTGTTTTCTGATTTCATCCCTTCCTACATTATGCATAAATGCCTTCAACCTCTGAGCTTCTTCTCCACTCCCCTTGATTGTTACCGTCATCTACAATGTGAAACAATAAATAATAATTACTTCTGAAGGTTGAAAGAGTATATAAAACTGACATGCTAATCTTTATTCTATATTGCAGACTTTGTGTGAAATAAAAATATAAAATGCTTAAATATAAAGAGAAAATATCCTTTTTGACAACTATCATACACATTACATCATCAGTCTTTCCAGCTGACTTTAGAAAAAGGAGAAAGTTCTCAAATCAAATGTATTTTTTAATGTGTGTTACCTCAGAACTTATTTCTAGGTGAAAAGGTTTTGATGATTCTTTATTTTATTTGAATGTTGGTTCTTCTCATAAATTTAATCAAGATCTGACTTTGAATACATTGATAATGTTCTCATTAAATTTATATTGTCAGTTGTACAATTTTTTAAATTTTACCACTTGTTCAGTCTACTGCTATACAGATTGCTGGTATAAAATTCTTAAGACGGGATAGTTTGGCTGGGATAAATCGGCTTATATAAGAAACTCATAACCTCAGCTGTCTGTGATATATTTAATGTATCAACAGAAGTAAGTAACAAGTACATTATTTAAAGTATCAACGTAAACAGTAGTTTTCACTCTTGTAAAGTATATAGGTATATGTGTTCTTATTGGAATTCCAACCAATAGGGAAAAAAGCTGGGGCTTAGTTACTGTTGAAAAATAACAATGAGCATGCAAAGCTTTATATGGACGGTGTGTCAAGATTGTGTCAAATAGTAAAGCCGTAGCAGAGTTAAGTGGAACTAGACTTTATAGATAAAATTGGTCGAATCGGTTCACTGAATTAGCACACCCCGACTCCAGTCGCCCTACCCCTAGTGTTTTTGTAAAGCCTTAGGCACGGAGGGAGAGCAGCCCCCGCCCGCTGTAGCAAATCACAGGCACCTAAGGGAGCCGTAGCGGCTGAGGCTGGTCGCCGAAGCTGCGGATGCGAGCATGGGTGCCTGTGATTTGCTACGCAAGGGCGAAGGGGCTGCACTTCCCACAGTGCCGAAGCCGTTGCAGAAGTAACTGCGTCAATATTCCTGTATAAAAAAGTGAGGTTATGATTTTACAAAAAAAAAGGGGGGTTACCGGCACTTCCCCCTTTTAGGGGGAGGTTCCTACCCCAGCCTCCCCCACTCGGCGACCATATATTCATGCGGCAGATTACTAAAAAAGTTCATAAAAAAGAGGGGGGGGATTTCCGGCACTTAACTCTTTTAGGGGGAGGCACCTACCCCTCCCCCCATCTAACCGCCCACTCGGTGACCATAAATTCGTGCGCCAAGTTACTAAAGAAATACCTATTGGTATTTCTTTAGTAGCATGTGTATGTTATGTTTTGAAAATCACAAGATTCTAGTTAACTGTTTTTTTATTATTGTTATACTTTAAATATATTGATTTGGGATCATTCCAAATATAAAATAAATTTGCAGGCTTAAGGCAGAAAAATACCGTGATTAGGATTAAGCATTATTACTATAATATAAAGACATTATTTTAGCGTGTATTGTGAAGCTCAAATTTTAAATGTATTGCTAGAATCATTGCATACCATAAATTTGTAAAGAATAACTATTCTATTCAGTGTCTCAATACTTACGTCTACCTCACTGACGTCATTTTCCTCCGATAGATTCGGGATGTGTACTTCGCCTTTTACGACATCCTTGGAGCCTGCGAGATGTCCTTCCCATTTCAGCTTAATATCCCATTCATAGAAAAATATTAATTTTCCTTTCCTATTATTCGCTGAAGCTTCTCCTTCGACCTTTTCTACCTCTGTTACCTTACAGTCCACACCATTCTGAGTTATTTTTAAATTATTTAGCAATTCTTTTAGACGGTCCTTTGACCAAGGTCCAGCATTTTTTTCAGTCCAGTGCCAATTATTTACATTAGTAGCATCAGGTCGTTCTTCTACAATCCATCGAGGATCTCCTTCGCCCCATTTGGCCATTTTTCTTAGCACGAGGCCAGTGATATGCAATTTTTAAGACTAAGATTTTAAGGTAACGTTGCTTACTGAAGCAAAAATAACCACTACTTGTAAATATTCACCGTTTCACACAGAATATCACCACAATAGACAGTAAACTTAAGAATAATTTAATTTTAGGTTTGGTCTAAGTGTGGTAGAACGTAATTCGTAATTTTCGAGAAACGTCGCGCGCACCAATACAATCGAATACCCGAGCATTAGTGACAATGACAGGAGAGGTATTAATGTTACCATTTATTAACTTTATACTACCTTACTAGGATCTAATATCAAATTTTACATAAGATTTCTTTTGTGATTTATTTTCTTAACACTCTTATCTTAGAAAGTTCTATGGAAATCATTTTAGCTTTTTTTTAGTTTTCTCTAGTTTTCACATTTAAGAGCGACGCTGAAAAGCATAAACTGTAATATAGGATGAGTTTGTCGATCTGACCGAAATAGAATGACGCTCTCAAGGAGTATCAAGGTGAAATAGCAGCACATTTCTACTGCGTTTCGTATTTTAAGTGTCAGGAATCAGAGGCATTCAATTTTATTCCATAGATTCATAATTGGATACGTCTTAGTCATATCATCCACTTAATGTCAGGTAAAAAATTAGCTCGTTTGTCGCTTATTAATTTAAAAAATGCAATCATATGAAAAAAAAACAATGCATTGTTATCACAAGTATTTCCTTATAAATACGTATACATTGTTAAGTGGGCAACATTAAAATTTTCTTTACGTTTCTAGAATTTTAGTACCAAATGAACCAGTAGATGGAGGTTAAATCTATGACACAGAGGTTAGAGAACTAACATCCATAGTCTATGCACAGAGTGAATCTACGCGCAATGACCAAGGTTTTTTAGTTTTTTAGGTTATTGAATCTGTGGTTTCAATTTAATTTCCGGATGTCATGTTTAAGTGTCCCGTTTTACGCAAGTATAGTGCCTCTCTTTGAATGCCACCAGCTTTACTGTTTAGAAGACAGAGTCGCAAGTGGCTTATTTTCGTCACTTAAGAAATTTACCGATGAAATAGGTGACTACATATATTTACACTGTTATTTGCACTTTTCACAATGAAATCAAACAAAACACACTTTTCACAATGAAATCAAACAAAGCTCTTTCCTCACAGCACAATAAATTACATAGTATATTATATATGCAGCGAAATGTCCAAGCTTAGTTTTTCCACCTAAACAGTTAAGTTGATGGCACTGTTTACGTTACTTTAATATAACATTTTGTCATTGGCATATTCGTTAAAAAATTTCCATCAACAAAAAAAAACAATAACATTACTATATTGTTATTATTTGAATTATCAGGTGTAGGTACTACGTGATAATTAGGCACCCTTAATTCTATTAAAATATATTAACATACACACCGAAAATAAACTAGTATATTTAAAGGGCACGTAAAAAAAGATAACATTTTATGTTTCAAGCCGCCAATATTTTAAAGTTAGCACTTTACTTTACCAAACAAAATTTAACAGTTAGCATGCTCCTAACTATTATAACTACCTGATGGATACGTAAAATATATTGTATATGTGCATATATATATATATATATATATATATATATATATATATATATATATATATATATATATATATATATATATATATATATATACATCACAAAATTGATTCTACGTCCTTTCATTCATTGTAACGTCCACCACTTGTAGGCAATTTTTATACATTATGACTGACAGCGAATATTGGTCTATTAAACAATTTCAAAGATAGTGTTTAACTCATTTCTTTGAAAATTTACCATATGTCGATATACAAATATTCGTATATTGCCAGACGGAGGGAAACCAATCAGGACTCCCTTCCATATTACAAATTATCCAGAATCCCCGTAATATACATAGTTTTTAATTCATTCTCCTGCTTAACGCAATTCCTTTGTATGGTGCGACGTTGCCACTCTAATTAGTTATTCCGCATTGTAATATTTTATTTATAGTAGGTGATATTTTGTTTATGTAGGTATTCGATAGATTCCTATAGTCTGTTTTTTTCGTAGGAGACAAAAATAACAGATCTTTATTAGATTCGTTTAGCACGAATAATACAGTTTTTATGATTCTGGTTCAGATTAGATTTAATTTTAGTCACTTAAGTTTCGTATATTGTTGAAAATAATGAAATAAATCCACAGAATGTGCAGTTATGAAAAATACACAATTTCATTTTTGTCTCCGGCGAAAAAAAACAGATAGATATCACGATTAATTTACCAACTAGTTATTCGTTTACTAAATACGAAAAAATATCTAGGATTGCCCAGCCGTGATACATTATAGATTGACTATATTATTATTTACTTTACTATTGTAAATAAGTACTAATTGTAAATATTGACAGGTTTAATAGAAGTTCATTTTCTTATATTGTGACTAATAACCTAATCATCGACCATGGTAACGGCGGGGCAGGGGGTCCTAAGAATCTCCGGTGGAGGTTCGGTTGCCACCTACGACGACTCGACCTGGCAACGTATAACGCACGCACCCTGAGGACTGACGAGAAGATACTGGAGCTGGAAGAAGAGGTAGACAAGTTGCGCTGGCATATTATTGGATTATCTGAGGTCCGAAGAGAGGGGGAGGACACGGTAATCCTCGAATCCGGCAACTTGTTCTATCACCGGGAGGGCGACCATCTGTCCCAAGGAGGTGTCGGATTTATCGTCCACAAGTCTCTCGTCAACAACGTTGTAAAGATTAGGAGTGTGTCGACGAGGGTCGCGTACCTGACACTCAGAATCACCAAACGGTATTCGCTGAAGGTCATACAGGTCTACGCACCAACCTCGGCACATCCCGATGAGGAGGTGGAGGAAATGTATGAGGATATTTCTAGAGCCATGCATTCCCCCCAAAACCCACTACACGGTGTTGATGGGAGACTTCAACGCAAAACTAGGCACAAGAGAAGGCGGTGAGCTGAAGTTAGGGAAATTTGGAGTAGGGGTGGCCAGCAGCTGGCTGACTTTATGGAGAAAGAGGGACTCTTTATGATGAACTCTTTCTTCCATAAGCGGCCCCACAGGAAGTGGACCTGGTCGAGCCCCGACGGTTCGACAAAAAATGAGATTGACTTCATTATGACGACCAGACGCCAACTGTTCAGTGATGTTTCAGTGATCGCAAGGGTGAAAACCGGCAGCGATCACCGAATGGTTAGAGCCACACTGAACCTAAACGTTAAGTTGGAGAGTTCTCGTCTAATGAAGTCAACGGTCCGTCCCCCTCGTGCTCTAATCCAGAATCCGGAGACTTTTCAGCTCGAGTTACGTAACCGCTTTCAGTGCCTAGAAGATTGCAATGCAGTGGACGATGTGAATGACAAGCTCGTGGAAACTGTCCATGCGTTCGGAGCTAAGTTCTGCAAGATCCGCCGCAGAAGAACACAAAAACTCTCCGATCACACTCTTAATCTCATGGCTGTTAGACGGGAGATGAGGCTGCAATCGTCAACAGATTTGACAGCATACAGGAAACTGAACAGACAGATCTCCAAATGCATGCGGCGAGACTTACGCAACTTTAATACTGCTCGTATTAAAGAAGCGATCGAGCGGAACCAGGGCTCCAAAGTCTTTGCCAGAGATCTGTCTGCCAGTAAGAGCCAACTGTCAACGCTGAAGACTGAGTGTGGCAGCATCGTTTCCGGGACACCTGAGATTTTGAGTGAGATTGAGAGGTTCTATAGGCAGCTGTACACATCATCGTTGGAGCCACACGCAAGTGTGAGTAACGATACAAGAGCAAGTCTTACCCGACACTATTCCGATGATATCCCGGACGTCGGTCTGAGCGAGATTAGAATGGCTCTCCAGCACCTTAAAAATGGCAGGGCCCCAGGCGAGGATGGAATAACAGCGGAGCTTCTGAAAGCGGGTGGAACACCGGTACTTGAAGTCCTTCAGAAGCTCTTCAATTCCGTCCTCTATGGTGGCACTACTCCGGAGACGTGGAGCAGAAGTGCGGTGGTCTTGTTCTTTAAGAAAGGCGACAACGCTCTCTTGAAGAACTACAGACTGATTTCCCTTCTGAGCCGCGTCTACGTGCTGTTTTCGAGAGTCATTACGAATCGTCTCGCACGCAGACTCGACGACTTCCAGCCTCCCGAACAAGCCGGTTTCCGAAAAGGCTTCAGTACCATAGACCACATACATACCCTGCGGCAGATTGTACAGAAGACCGAGGAGTACAATCTGCCACTTTGCCTGGCGTATGTGGACTATGAGAAAGCCTTTGATTCCGTCGAAATTTGGGCGGTGCTACAGTCCCTTCAGCGGTGCCAAGTTGATTGTCGGTATATCGAGGTGCTGAAGTGTTTGTACAGTAGGGCTACGATGGCTATCCGAGTACAGAACCAGAGTTCGAAACCTATCCAACTGCAGAGAGGTGTAAGACAGGGTGACGTTATATCCCCGAAACTCTTCACCGCTGCGTTGGAAGACGTTTTCAAGCTACTGGACTGGAAAGAATACGGTATTAACATCAATGGCGAGTACATCACTCACCTTCGATTTTCCGACGATATAGTTTTTATGGCAGAATCGCTGGAGGACCTTAGCACTATGCTCAATGACCTCAATGGTGTCTCCCAACGGATAGGTCTTAAGATGAACATGGACAAAACAAAGATTATGTTCAATGTCCATGTCACACCTATGCCGGTAGTTGTGGGGAGCACTATGCTCGAAGTTGTTGACGAGTACGTTTACCTGGGACAAATAGTCCGACTAGGTAAGTCCAACTTCGACCGAGAGGTCAATCGACGGATTCAACTCGGCTGGGCAGCGTTCGGGAAATTACGACACATATTCTCGTCAGGTATACCTCAATCTCTGAAAACTAAGTTGTACAACCAGTGCGTGTTGCCAGTGATGACTTACGGATCAGAGACGTGGTCTCTAGACGTGGAGAGGGCTA